AGCAGAGGGGAAGAAACTGTTCTTGTGGCGGGAGGTTCTAGTCCTGATGGACCGCAGCCTCCTGCCTGAGGGGAGTGGTTGGAATAGTCCATGTGCAGGGTGAGAGGGGTCGGCTGTGAAACGACCAGCCCGGCCTCGAGCTCGGGCGACGTACAGGTCCTGCAGCGATGGAAGGCTGCGGCCGATCACTTCCTCTGCAGAGCGCACAATGCGCTGTAGTCTCTGTTTGTCCCTGACTGTGGCTCCAGCGAACCACACTGTGATGAAGGAGGTGAGGATGGACTCGATGATGGCCGTGTAGAACTGCACCAACATCTGTGCAGGCAGCTTGGCTTTCCTGAGCTGCCGCAGGAAGTACATCCTCTGCTGGGCCTTCTTGATGAGGGAGCTGATGGTCGCCTCCCACTTGAGGTCCTGGGTGATGGTGGTGCCCAGGAAACGGAAGTACTCCACAGAGGTGATGGGGGAGTCCATCACGGAGGGTGGGGGTGGGGGGACAGTGCTCTTCCTGAAGTCCACAATCATCTCCACTGTCTTCTGGGCGTTCAGCTCCAGGTTGTTACCACTGCACCAGGACACCAGCCGGTCCTCCTCCCTCCTGTAGGCGGACTCATCGTTGTTGGAGATGAGTCCAATGAGGGTGGTGTCGTCCGCGAACTTGATCAGCTTCACGGAGTCGTGGCTGGAGGTGCAGTGGTTGGTGTACAGGGAGAAGAGCAGGGGAGAAAGAACACAGCCCTGTGGGGCTCCTGTATTTATAATCCGAGAGTCCGAGACATTCTTCCCCAGACGCACTCGCTGCTTCCTGTCCGTCAGGAAGTCAGTGATCCACCTGCAGGTGGAATCGGGCACGTTGAGCTGGGAGAGCATGTCCTGGAGCAGGGATGGCAGGATTGTGTTGAAGGCAGAGCTGAAGTCCACGGACAGGACCCTGGCGTAGGTCCCCGGGGAGTCCAGGTGCTGTAGGATGTGGTGGAGGGCCAGGTTAATGGCGTCGTCTACAGATCTGTTGGCTCTGTAGGCGAACTGCAGGGGGTCCAGGAGGGGGGAGGTGAGGGACTTGAGATGGGAGAGAACCAGGCGTTCAAATGACTTCATGACGACAGACATAAGTGCCACAGGTCTGTAGTCATTGAGTCCTGTGATCCTGGGCTTCTTCGGGACGGGGACAATGATGGAGGATTTGAAGCAGGCCGGGACATGGCAGGACTGCAGAGAGGAGTTGAAAATGTCCGTGAACACAGGAGTAAGCTCACTGGCGCAGTGTCTCAGAGTGGCCGGAGACACGTGGTCCGGGCCAGGAGCTTTGCGGGGGTGCAGCCTCAAGAAGAGTTGTTTAATCTCTTTAGCGGCTATTGTTAGGCTGGGGGCAGGGCTGATGGGTGGGTCGTTAGAGTAGTGGGGGGTGGGGGAGGGAGAGGTGTCAGGGGCAGCATCAAAGCGACTGAAAAATAAGTTCAGTTCGTCAGCTAGCTTGTGGTCGTCAGCACAGGGGGGGGCTTTGGGTTTGTAGTTGGTGATCTCCCGTAGGCCCCTCCAGACAGAAGCAGTATCGTTGTTACCAAACTGCTCCTGTAGTCGTTCTCTGTGCCGGGACTTGGCTGCTTTCAGTTCTTTCCTGAACTGATATTTAGCTGCTTTGTAGCCGCTGCGGTCCCCCTCCCTGAAAGCAGACTCCTTTGCTTTCCTGAGCTGCCAGAGTTTAGCAGTGAACCAGGGTTTGTCGTTGTTATAGATGACCCTGGTCCTTGTTGGAATGATGCTATCCTCACAGAAGTGAATGTATGACGTCACAGTGTCCGTGTATTCATCCAAACTGTCGGTGGCAGCTCTGAAAAGGTCCCAGTCTGTAGATTCCATGCATGCGCGCAGCTCTTCCACAGCTTCATCAGACCACACTTTGGAGCTCCTCACTGCAGGTTTCGAGAGCTTTAGTCTCTGTCTGTAAGCAGGAACCAGATGTATCATGGAGTGATCTGAGAAGCCGAGGGCTGGCTTGGGAACAGCGTGAAAAGCTCCGCGCACAGTGGTGTAACAGTGGTCCAGAGTGTTCTCCTCTCTGGTCGGGCATTTGATAAACTGTCTGTATTTGGGTAATTCCTGGCTCAAGTTTCCCTTATTAAAATCCCCCAGGATAATAATCAGAGAGTCCGGGTATAAACGTTCCATACACAGTACTTGCTCTGCAAGTGCGCGCTGAGCCTCGCGCGCGTCCGCGCATGGCGGTATGTAAACAGAGGCAAGAATGAATGAAACAATTTCGCACGGGGAGTAAAATGGTTTACAATGAATGAAAAGATATTCCAGAGCAGGAGAGCAGTGCTTGGAGATCACTGTCACATCGTTACACCAGTTTGTATTGACGTAGAAACACAGCCCACCGCCTCTGCTCTTCCCTGAGAGCGCACAATGGCGATCCGCGCGGAACAGCCCAAAGCCCTGCAGCTCCAGAGCACAGTCCGGGATCCGCTCATTTAGCCAGGTCTCAGTGAAGCAGAGGCCTTGTTTCTTCTCATGAGCCGGCTGAGTTCGTCCATCTTATTGCCCAGTGAGCGTATGTTGGAGAGAAAAATGCCGGGGAGAGCCGTGCGCGCTCCTCTCCTCCTAAGACGCACGAGCAGGCCTCCGCGCTTTCCCCTTTTACGGGCCCACACTTTTTTGGCTAGAACATGAACTAAATCAGCCGCAGATGCCAAGAAAACAGGCAATAGGTCCATGGGAACGGTGGGTCGGATGTTCATAAGTTCCTCACGGGTGTAGGAACAGCCAGTTAAAAAGTAAAAACAAAAGAAAAAGAGAGCAGCAAAGAGCCATGTCGACCGTACGAGGCGCCATCTTTGGACCACCAAAATACCCAAAGCCAGAGCTCTGACTGCAGACGCTGCACAAAATCATAAGTCTGTATCTTTAGCCTCATACATAACACAAGTTTGTCAAGCAGAAAAAGATATCTTCATCTCACTATCTTTTGTGTCAGAGAGAGCTTTGTGAGTCACTGTTTGACTCTTCGCTGAGAGCTGATTGGCTGAGTGAGGGTGGTCCTGTCTTTTTCTCTTTTTTGTCTGAAAAAGCTGATCTGAAGATGTGACAGAGCCCAGAAATACAGTACATGTGATAGAAGTTAGAGCCATAGAGACATAAGTTCATTATATTACTGTTATTTAAAAGTAACGTAATTAACTGTTACATTACTGTTGGGATTCAACTTTAAAGCTGAATCCCAGCTTTAAAGTTACATCTTGTAGAACCAGTGTAGTTTGCTTCTGCAGTATCCGTGTTCTCTGCTCTCACTTCAGATCTGGAACACACACACATAGACCAAAGGCTCTGGTCCTGTTGGCTTCAGAGCCTGGGGCCACAAACCCGGCTGAATCATGAGGCTAATGCTGCCAATACACTCACACAACTGACCCACAAAACACTGGAGCAAGCCACAACCGCCCTGAGGCAAAGCATTGACCGGTGAAACTAGTCGCAGTACCCTCAGTAGCAACAGTAGCAGTAGAAGCAGCAGCAGCAGTATGTGTTTGATCAAAGGAACATTTTTTTAAATGAAGAAAAGCACTTTTACCTCACAGCAGCAGCGTCTCCTCAGTTTCACTGAAGTTTATCTCAGTGTCTGTTGCTCTTATCTCAGACTCAGAGGAGCAGAGACACTGACGTAATACTACTACTGCTGCTACTGCTACTGCTGCTATAGCCACTGCTAATACTACTACTACTATTAGTAATACTGTGTAGTTAAATATATCTTATAGGAGACAAAGATAGTTGTGGAGCTCTTTACCTTTGCACATTATATCTGCACAATCACTCGAGCACTTTAAATCCCTCCTTAAGACGCACCATTTCTCATTGGCTTTTAATACCCGGTAGAAAGAGACAAGTTTTCTTTTGTTTTGTTTTAATGTATTTTTTTAATGTGTATTTATATTTCTGTAATTTATGTGTTTTTATTTTGTATCCATTTATTTTTGCTGCTGTCTGTTCAGCCCTTTGGTAGGCCTAGGTTGTTTTAAATGTGCTCTACAAATAAAGATTTGATTGATATTTGTCATTTGTGGTAATTGAGAACTGAAATAGACTAGAATTATTTAACTAAATTAGGCATGCACAACGATTTAGGCACTCTTGATTTTTTCATTTTTATTTCATACCTTTAGCACTAATCATTGCAACTCAAACTTGGTTTTATGACCCTTGACCTTGTTGTGGAAATTCTGCACATACCGAGAGTAAAATAATGTAAACAACTCAGAGCTGTAATTCCAAACAAAGTGTGAGTTTATTCAATAGTAAATGTGCACAATTACAATGAATAACAGAACCGATACCAATACCACCGGGCAGCCGACCGAAATCGACTGCCACAAATGAGGAAATAACTGTACATTAAATAGACCAGAGTAAACAAACACATATACTCTAGATATTACATAGATGAAGTCAACATTGATATGTGTTGCTCAAGGCTTCTCTTTACGCCTCCTAACGCTGATACAACTCTGATATATGTAACAATCTGCTTTTGAACTGAACATATTGTTCTATGACCCAGGTCAAAGACATGATGCAGCACGTCTCCATCTTTCAGCTGACCTGCTGCCAACAGAGCATTATGGCCTGTATCTGAATCCAGAGTTCACTGTTAGTTAATAACTTACACTTATAACTATTTGGTGTTAATTCAGGTTGCTTCACTAAAACATTTCTATAACAACCTCCATACACATGAACAAGGATATTTAAGTAGACAAAGGGTTTCCCCTCTTTGCATCTTCTCTGAAGAGTGGCAACATGGGAGCCTAAAAAACAAGAACTATCACAAAGGTTTAAGCTTCCAGTTTTAACTGTGAGGAATATTTTAAAGAATTCTAAGACCACAGGCACAGTTCTAGTTAATGCTCAAACAGTCAGAGTCAACCCACAGACCTACAACATCAGCTGCAGATGGTGTCACTGTGCAGCATTGGACTATACAGCGCTCTTTATACAAAGAGATGGTGCAATGTGGAATAAGCCTTCTCTCTACACACGCCACAAACAGTTGCTTGAGGTGAAGCACATTTGGACAAGCCACTTTTATTTTGGATTAAGGTGCAGTGGACTGAGGAAACAAAAATTTCCTCAATTATTTTGGCAAAACAAAGAGCGTTATGCATGGAGGAAAAATAATGCAGCATTCCAAGAAAAACACTTACTACCTACAGTAAAAATTGGTGATGGTTCCATCATGTTGTGGGGCTGTGAGTCCAGTGCATGGATTCTACTCAATACTCAATAGGTTCTGGAGAACAAAGTGACAAAGTGTAAGCTGCACCGGGCTGGATCTTTTAACTAGACATCGATCCTAAACACTGCTCAACATTTACTGAGGTTTTCATTCAAAGGAACAAGTACAATGTTCTGAATTTAAAACTATCTGTCTCTGCTCGGAACCCATTAAACTTGACTGAACCAGAGAAAGAATAGATAGATAGAATCCAGACCCTAACTGTAACTTATAGGATGCATTTAGAGGCTATAATTTCTGTAAAAGGAGCATGTACAAAATGCTTTTTTTGTGTTGCCTAAATTTATACACATGCCTAATTTGGTTTAAATAATTCTTGCATACTTTCTGTTTATATAATTTATCAAATATCAGTGTCTTCTATATAATATATTTAATTGACATTTATAAAGGAAATGTATGTATCGCAAATTATTTGTACATTTTAAATGTATTTTTGTGGCTGTGCTCACTAAAGGCAAGGAACTGTTGAGCTGTAGACGTGTTTCCAGTCGGAAATATTTTGGGGTGAGCTCGGTTCACAGTGTAAGTTTCTAACATTTTTTATTCAAACGGTTTTGGCATTTGATGAAAAGTGAAGTGAGCGAAGCAGGATGCGTTTATTTGAAGAGAAGGGTCACGACCTTAGACTGTATATTAAATATAAAATACCTCAAACTATAGACTGTGTGGATGGACAGTGCTAACCCACGAGCTCAATGAAGCTCATCAGAAAGTGCTCATGGTAAAGTTTGACTCCTTTCAAGATAAGAGAGATCCTTTATTCGTTCCAAAGTGGGGACATTTCAGTGTTGCAGCGCACAGACAGGACAGTAGTAAGAGCACACCGGGAGCACACAAAAATATACAATATAAGTAAGTAGCTGCTATGTTTCTTGGCTAGCTGTAAGTGCTTCAGTACCAGTCTTTCAAAAAAAAGAAAAAAATACATATGACTTGGACCATACGCGCGCTCTGATTGGCTGATTACCGGTCTGATATTTTCCCATCTCGGACCGTTACCATGACAATTGGTCCGAACAGCGCGTATCACATTTGATATCTTTCCACGGACCGTTACCATGACAATCTGTCCGCAGCGCGTATCACACAAAACCAAGTCGGGCATGAACATACTTTACAAATATCTCAAAAGCATTGGTAAAGACACAGACGAGAGTCATATAATAAAACAACTATTGACCTCGCTTGCTCGGTCTGTACAGAGAAATATCAGACCTGCACAGACCTCGGCTCGGTCTGTACAGGCCACGGTCTGATATTTCTCCATACAGACCTCGCGCTCGGTTAATAAGCTGTTAATATATTATACAATTAGTGCGGAGTTCTATACTCTACTTATAGGGCAGGATAATAAAGTAAAGTGACATTCTGTGGTTGTGGTATTGCACATTGCAAATTATTGGAGTATTTCCTTATTTACAGATGAATGACATTTACAAGCTCAGCAGTTCTATTCACTTACATGTTAAAGTAAACCCCTCTTGCTCACTAACCCTAAACATGATTTTTATCTACAAATAGCAACAAATATATAATTAGGGGGTTAGTTCATCTGGTCTCTTGTTTCGTTTCCCTTGTGGCCTCCACTGGTCCCCCCTTTTATCTTCTGGTCTTGTGTCCGTCCTGCAGATGGCTCTGCGTGCCTGTGGCTTTATCGTTTTCCGCCGTGTTCCCCCGGAGTGTCTGGAGTATCTCCTGCTGCAGACATCGTATGGAAGTCACCACTGGACTCCCCCCAAAGGTAAAGTCCCATCTGAGGACCAAAGTGCCTTCTCATGGAGACGTGGCTTCTCTGTCCCCCAGGGCATGTGGACCCGGGGGAGGACGACTTCACCACGGCGTTGAGGGAGACGCAGGAGGAGGCAGGGCTTAGCGAGGCCGACCTCAGCGTCTGGGCAGGGTTTGTGCGTACGCTGAAGTACGAGGTCAAAGGTCGGCCCAAAGACGTGTTGTACTGGCTGGCCGAGCTACGCAACCCAAACAAGATCATCACACTGTCCAAGGAGCACCAGGCCCTCCGCTGGGCTCCTCTGGAGGAGGCATGTGCTCTTGTGGGGTTCAAAGAGATGAAGGAGGTGCTGAGGGAGGTGGAGGAGGTGGTGAGGAAGAAGATAAAGGAGGGGGAGGAAGAGCTGTGATCCTGGTGTTATATTTTGATACTGTCTTTGTAAATCCAGATGAGCTACATATTGATAGACCAATCAGATACCTTAATTTCACAGGGGGAAACTCCAGCTTACCTTAGCAACCATCTTAGCAACAAGCTGCCAGAATAAATGCCCATATAAGGAAACTGATGCCAGTGAGCTATACATAGTTCCCACAGACCAATGAATGTCACATGACCTCCTCGGAGACGCCATCTTTGATGGCACGCTGCTGTGTTTGTGCATTCCATTAAACAGAAGAATGAGAATAAATGTAGATATTCAAACGCAAATTGGAAAAAAAGGGCAACTTTTGAGCAAATAATTGTATATTAATACAATGGCACCACAGTTTAACGTGCTACGGACATGTTTTACATATTTGATCAAATTATGCAGCAAAAATTAACAAGCAATGCAAACATTTCTCAAAGCCTTTTGATTTAATACCAGTTGGAGCTCCATTTAATTATTTTAATTATATTAACAATTAATTTAATTAATGCTAATACCACACGGACACTCTGGATTGCTGTTATTGTTTATTTCCGCGTTTTTGACCGTATGTTTTGGTGAATGGTGGGCAACTGATTTTTCCAGGCGTAAAGAGCAGTTTATTTTATGACACAGATCTTTTTACAGAAGCAATGCTGTTTGTGAACATTGTTTTAGCCCACCATAGAACTATTATTATCTATTTAATACATTTACGTTGCCCTCGAGAGCCTCGGACGCGACACCGATCCTCCTCATAATAAAGTAATCTAACGCTAAATAATGAAACTCTCAAGTTACCAGATATCAGCATACACAAGTTAGTACTGAGTAAATTACGTCTGTCAACACATTATAAGATACGATACGCACCTGACACAAAGTGCTCCGAGCATATTCTTGCGTGTTTTGAGGGAGTTTCTTGCCTGTTTATCTTCGCAAGCCATAACCTCCGTGGTTGTTCTGACAAAAGCTTAGTCTTCTCACATTCATGAAGTCTAATGATGGGTATACTGTAAAATCCAAGTTTAACGGAACCTCGGCACGATTTGAACATCCATTGACCCAGCAGGAGATGACCATTTTCAACTTTATCACGACATTAACACGTTTCAGCTTCTTTTTCTATTGTTTTGCCCACAGCATGCCAACTCAAATGGCGCCGGGTCGGCAAATCCCCGTATGTAGTGACGTCATGTGGGAACTATGTATACTGCATTAAGATTAACACTATGGTGATGTCACTCTGTTAGTCCACACATACAATCTGAAAATATTGTTTTCTTTTAATGTGACAATTTGTGGTTTATTTTTTATTTTTTTTGAATGAGTGTTTATTCATTTTGCTTTGTTAATCACATACATCACATCACGTACACAACGTTGTTTCTCTTATTTTACACTTTTTTCCCCCTTTCCCTTCTCCCTGTGTGTCCCTTGTGCACCAAAATAATCCAAAGTAAAATTAAATCAAAATACATACATGAAAATAAAAGAGCTTTACCTAGGTTGCTAGATGAAGGAAATGGTCGTGGGGTTTCAGGCTTTCTTTGAGTGCCAAATGGCTATTTTGTAAGCTGGACAGGCTCCATCTTCAGGTACTCTTCAGGTAGGACAGCAGCCGAGATGGTGCCCCCCCTGTCCCTGTCTTTGTCTCTGCCACTGCTTGTAACCGTTGGCAAAAGCCATTTCCATCTATTCCCTGACAATTGACTTTTTTTTTTCTTTAGATTACTTTTATATTGATAACGAGTTATCAATATGTCCATGCCACTGCAGTGGCATGGACATTCCGTGCTCTTGTGAATGTTCCCCCTGTTTTCATTTACCCTATTTCTATCATCTCTGGTATGGTAGACCATGTGTGTTCATATTCTTTTTGTTTATGTTGTAGTCTTGCAGTTATATTTTCCATAGTTGATACCTCTTGAACTCTGTCCCACCAGTGCTTTACGCTGGGAGGTTGTGGTTTCTGCCAACACACTGTGATCATTTTTTTGCTATGATTAAAAATAAGCGCGTTTTATTGTTATTTTTGGATGAGACACTTTTTAGTATAATACCCAATATGAATAGTTGTAGTTCTAAGTCAATTTCTTCCCCTAATTTTTTTCAATCTGTTTTTTTTACGTTTTTTTAATTTTAGGGCAGTCCCAAAAAATGTATGTGTTATCACCTGTTTGACCACAACCTCTCCAGCATTTGGAAACGTAGTGTAGTGTAGTAATGTAGTGGAACCAGGAAGAAGCGCGATTTAACTTTCCACTCAAACTCCCTCCAAGTAGCACTGCCAAGGCCTGCATGTCCTTCTCTAAATGTCTCTGCCCACTTTTCATTTGGTATTACAATATTTCTTTCTCCCAACTCTTTTGATATTTGTATTAATGTCATCTTCCATCTGCAGGGCTTTATATAACTTTGAAACTAGCTTTTTCTTTCTTTGACTTCGCCATAAATACATTCTCTAGGTTGTTTTGGAGGTTTTTGTAGATGCTCCCATTCTTTGTTTCATAAGAGAGCTTCTAATTTGAAGGAATTTGTAGAAATCTTGTGTCATTAATTTTTTAGTTGTTCAAAGGATTTCAAGTTCTCCCCTTTAAAAAGCTGTCAATATAAATTAGTCCTTTATGTTCCCATTTGTCTTATCCCCGTCACTTTGTTGTTTTTACAGTGTTTCTATCAAATAAAGATGAAGACGGCATCATGATTATTATTGTTAGTTATAAGTGAGACCAGAGAGAAAGACCGAAGACACCAGAGATCTAATGGTCGATGTGTCCACATGTTTAATACAGGTCTGTTGTTCACACAGACACTGGAAAGTTACATATTGCAGCTTTAAAACCACAGAAGACCTCTTGAATGTAAAGTGTACAGTCTTTTCTAAAACATTACATCTTATTTTGAAAAACTCCTCAATGTCTCATAAAACCTGTGGTCATTTCCTGTTTATACCTTTATAATGTACAAAACACATGGGAGTTTAGAGGCCCCATCCCAGACATGACAGGGATAACAATATACATGTGTTTTTAGGAGGAAATCTATACATCAGTGAGGCAGGGAGGTAAGAGATGGTCAGGAGGGCAGCGCTCCCAAAAGCAGAAGAAAATTACATAACATTAAAGCTAAGGTAACTAACTTTTCCCATAAATAACAATTTGTCCAATTGAAAAAGTCTGGTCTCTCTTGTGGTCTGATTTGACCTGAGAGAGAGACCCTGGTTATTGGAGTCCAGTGTTGTGGTCTGAAAGTTACTTACCCCAGCTTTAAGTCTGGGACAGGGCCTTTGATTCGCTGAATATAGTTTAGTAAATGAGTTTTTAAAAATGGCAGTAATAACAGTTCCATAATTTACTCTGTATCCCGTTCATAAACTTTTTCTAATTTGTGAAGAAACTTTGGGGGAAAAAATAAATACACAAACAAACACATGGATTATTAAGTACAAGCTGTATAATAATAAATCTGTTTTAACATTTGCACTGCATGGAGACCACACCCCCCCATGATCTTGACCCTCATCCTAACACTGACCCTCATCCTAGCCCTGACCCTCATCCTAACACTGACCCTCATCCTAGCCCTGAGCCCTGCCCCACATAAACCACATGAATAGATTCTTTCAGATGTCGCTCTGACACAGAATGATATAAGTTTGTTAAACACAAAACACATTTATTACCTTCACTTAAACTGATCATAACGTTCTCCAGTGTAAAATATTCTTGATTTATTGTTTTAATGAACATTTTAAAAAATATATTTTTTCCCCAAACTTGATACTTTTCAAAATGAACTTTGTTATAATTATTATATTTACTGACCTTCATTAACTCCAGTCCTGTTTAAATGTTTGAGATTTTTTTTCCTGAAACTATGATTTCATCAAAGTCTTTATTTACTGCAGCGTTTGACCTAAATTTATTATTATTAATCTGTTGAACCTATTTTTATTCGGCTAAATTATGATTTATTTCAATAAAACGAAAAGTTCAAATAAAGTAAAAAAATGTAATTGGTTTGATGCAAATTATGTTGAAGAGACCCGGCCTCCTGCCGAGGGGGCGGGACATCCTGCGAATAGGGCGGGGCCAAAGACCATCAGTTTGCTCCACAAGGCCTAAGGAGGAGGTGTCATTAGCTCCAGAGAACTGCGTCATTCCTGTGTAGTCTGGATCAGAGGACCTCCTGTTAACTCCACAGGGAGGCGCAGAAGAGGTGCTGTTAGGTCCACAGGAAGACGCAAACGAGGTGCCGTTTGCTCCACAGGGAGGTGCAGAGGAGGTAGCGTTAGCTCCACAGACCTGCGTAATTGCCATGCAGCCCAGAGCACAGAGGACCTCCTGCCACAAACAGCTTCGTCCCTGACTCGTCGTAGCAATGAGTGTAGACGGCGTTTGGGAAAGACTGGATATCCGAGAAGTAACTCCTCCAGGTCTCATCATGGTTCTAAGAGGAGGGGATAGAGGAAACAGGAGAAGAGAACAGAATCTGTGAAAATGTCTGGGGCCCAATCCATGTCTTTGTCCGGGTCATGGTCCAGGTCATGTTCATGGTCCAGATCGTACCAGCCAGCCCGTCCCTGTGGTGTGCTTGAGGCTCTGGCCGCAGCTGAAACGCGTGTTTTCCAGGAAACGGGAGGCGCGGATGTCGTAGAAGAGCAGAGAGCCCTGACCGGTTCCCACAGTAACGATGTGCTCATAGAAACTCACAGAGCGTATACCTGTAACAGCCACCAGGGTTTAGAAGAAAGGTCAGAGATAAATCACAGATAATCACATTATAAGTCTCTCTTCCATGTGGAGCAATATAGACCGCTGCTGGTCGGTTAGTATATCTCTGCAGTGAGGTCTCCCTCTGGTTGCTCTCTCTCTGGTCTCTCTTACTCACCACTGCCCCTCTCTCTGGAGCTCACAGACTTGATGGTGCTGGTCGGGAGCCTCGGGTCTAAGAAAGTGACGTGGGCCTGGGATCCGACCGCGTACACAGACCACTCCTCGCCGTATGCAAGACACACGTTCTCCTTACAGTGCGGAAGCTTCGGAGACATGATCTGGAGGATAGAGAGCGAGTGAGTGTACCCCCAATCCTTCTGCTGAAATAGCAGGAGGATTGTAAGGGTTCCAACACCAGAGCAGAGGACGTACCTTGCACAGGTTCTGCTCTGCCTTCCAGAGGTGGAAATATCCGTCCAGAGACACAGCGCCCAGCTCCTGTGGAGAGATCAGCGTCACTGATGGACTTTACCATGAGGAGTGTGTCAAGTATCAGGTCACAGGTCTCACCTTGTGGCCTGCGTTGAAGGCCAGGGCTCTGACCTTACAGTTGTAGGGGCTGGGGTTCTCTTTGGGGATGTCTTTGAGTGCGCGGTGAGCGATGTGTGCGTATGACGGTACAATGGCGTCTTGACGGAGCCGTGCCTCAGACAAGACCTTTTCTGAGACCTCCCACAGACCCATGGAGCCATCCCTGGACCCTGAGGAGAGAGGACCGGAGTGAGGAGAGGCCTCCAACAGACCCATAAAGCCATCCCAGGACCCTGAGCAGTGAGGAGAGAGCTCCCACAGACCCATCCTGGGAGTAATTAGAGAGGGTGTGGCTCACCGGAGACGGCCATTGTGTCGCTGATCCATGCGATGGAAAAGATCCAGTCGTTGTGTCCAGCCTGAAACACACACAAGCAACATCACAGCAGCTCTTCTACCCCCCCTCTTTCTCTGTCCTCTTCTCTCTCTCTCTTTCACACACTTATAATCCCACCTTTTCCCCACCTCCACTTGTCCCCCCTCTCTCCATCTCCCTCCTCCCCACACTTACATCTCCCACACACACAGGGTCCAGTGTGGGCAGCTTGTAGACAGCCAGGCTGTTGGGGTTGTCTCCCCCGGTAGCTAGTAGGGTCTTGCTTGGGTTGAGCTCGATGGCGTGGATGCCACAGCCCAGGTGCTCCAGACGAGGGCGAGAGCGTGGTGAGAACGGCTGCACCACAGACTCCGAAAGCCGGTCCTTCAGCATCGGGATCTTTGTGATGTGAGCGCTCAGCACATCCACCACAAACAGCTGAGAAGAGAACAAACCACAGAATCAACACCAGAGCTAACCCTCAGAGTTAGCGCCATAATCACCACAGCTCAGAGTTATAGCTGGTCTTTCAGAGATCGATAAAGCTGCTTTTTTTTAACAGAGTTCAACGTATAAAAAACATACTGTAGATACATTAGTTTGGTCAATATAATAATAATGACTGAATAATAATGTGTGTAACTGAATGCAGTTACACACATTACACAGGGACAAGATGGATATGATCAACATAGGACGTCTGTCCCCACACACGTGTCTCTGGTTCTTACCGTATTGCACTTGGTGCCACACACCACATGTCTCTGGTTGAGCCATTGTGATGCAAACACTTTGTTTAAGTGTCCCAGAGGCAGCTCTCTCTCCCGCAGGATGCCGGGCAGCCGAGCAGCAGCGTAACCACGTAAACTTGAGGCCAAATGGTCGTCATGGTGAAGCTGAGGCCGAAACTCTCTGTCCCTCACTGCACACACCACTGAGGCACGGGTGAGGCAGCGAGGGGAGAGGGGAGAGAGGCGAGAGCGTTTCAGCTGCGTCCAAACTTTCTGCAGGAAACATTTTCAAGGAATGATTTAGGTTCTTCATTTTAAAATGTATGTGTGAATAGAGCATGATAAACTAACACATGAACCATGGACTTGGGGTATGTATATATTATATATACACAAATAATAAATACATTTTGTTTAACGTTTGTTTAACATAAGCACTGTACACGTTCCTATTTTGACCAGAAGCAGTGTTTCTCAGTCTGGATTTAATGAACCCATAGAACTGTAACAATACTAAACTAGAGCTCTGAATTAAACACGTCCATGTAAAAGTACTCTGTGTACAGCCTATGGTCCACGGCCTGCAAACTGAGACCGCCTCAGCGGAAGTGCGGTGCATGGCATGTTCCGGAGCGCTGGGATTAACCTTCACTAAAACAAACTAAAAAGTCACTTTTCATAAACATAAACACGAGTTGCACCAGGTCTCTACAGCAGTGTTTAAATGTATTCAACATTGAACATAAAATAAAAAGTCTACGTGCCCAGCCATTACGGCGACTGTAGCTAATCTAATGCTAACCGAGGCTAACAATCACGCCTTTACAAAAGTCTTCGTTCCGATTGTAATATTTGGCGTGAAGTGCCAGAGCGAGTCTTTGATTATTTACAGTTGTTAATCACGATATTCTCTCGTGTGTGTAAATCAGGGGTGCTTATGTGTATCATGAGCCAGACGCCTTTTGCTGTCAGTCGCAGTTAGCTGGCTCCTGGTTCTAATATACACGAACTGCGCTCCAACCGTGTTTTACTCGCTGTAGGTCGCGGTTAATAACTATCTGGAATTTTTGGGCGGATTTTCAGTAATTTGTCAGTTTGTTTTGGACTGGGGTTGCCAGGCCCGCTTGTTTACAGCAACTTGTAGCGTTTTTTGGTCAAGCGAAACACCAGAGGATTGTATTGATAAATTTGTTAACGCCATGAACTCCTTTGACCACCTGAGAGTCTACAGTTCTGTGGAGTTTTATGTTGTAAATACACAGCATAAAGTACCTTGTGGTTACAGTGTTAGAGGCGATGGAAATATTTTTTTGAGATCCTGCAGCCCTCAACATCATACCTAAACTTTTTGTACGGTTTGTAAATTTTAATGATAAACCCGTTTCGACATCACAAAAAAATAAGATGATAGATCTATAATTCTCCCACAGCGGGTAAATTTCAATGTCATCATTGCGCACATTACAGCACAAGAAAAGGAGGAAATACGAACACTCAGGCTGCCCAAATGTAAGATAATAGATAATAAAATAAAGTAAAACTCTGGAGCTGTAATTGCACTTCAAAGATAGTTCACTAGTGGAGTACACACTGGGGCCAGCAGGAGGCATTTACAGATTAATAACCCCATTATTCCCATCTACCCCACAATTCTTATGGCCAACTATCAAATGGAACAATTGCTCTGGAGTCAGCTTCAGAATGATACACCCTCTATGTGAAGAAGAGGTTTCGCAAGTCTTTCCTTTTTGATGCTGTCAGCGTGCACAACGAGAACTGATGAGTCTGTACATGTCATTCATCTATAGCGTTAAATACTAAATTCATGAGCAATACTGCAATTTGAATATAGCTCCTAGAATTTACAGCGACTTATCTATTTATATGTTGTGTTACTATTGTCCTGTATGTGCGCTGCAACGCCTGTGGGTTGAATGAAGGTTCCCTACTTGTTTCTCTGTGCATACCTGGCAACCCAGTATTGATGCTAGTTTAGCCGCTAATGCTAACTTGTATAACTCTGTTTATGATCGAAACTCCATCAGTTTAAACCCAAACTGCGCTGAAACGGGTGCCCGTGTGCGGCATGCAATTGGAGGCCTGTCCACCGGCAGTGTGAAGGTGCTGTGCCCGTGTGTGTGGAGGTTTAACCCCGTACCTGATCTCGGCTCTCCGCGGCCTTCCTCTTCCTGCTAACTGGTTTTCGGGCCATAGTCGCACACACTCAGGGCCCTCACCCACATGGACGCAGCCGACTCTGGGCTCATCCACGGGGGCGAGTCTACAGCAAGGCTTGGTCTCTACTGCAATGGAAGTGACAACTGGAGACGGGGCCTCTGAGGCAGGCTTTGGGAGGAGCAGAGTCCGGCAGATGGGGCCTCTGTTGCGGGTTGTAGATGGAGTCCGGGAAGAGGCTCAGAGATCAGGCCGACGGAGGAGACTGATCACTGGGGGAGAGCTGAGCACCAACCGGCCTCTGGTATTCACATCAGCGGCTGAGGGATGCAGTTTTCGCGGCCTCTGGAGAAGACATCAGCGGGGTAGAGATCCACTCGTAGCCGCCTCTAGTACACACATCAGCGGGAGGGAGATCAACTTGTATCCGCTTCTAGTGCAGACATTGGCGAGAGGGAGAGCTCTACTTGTAGCCGCTTCTGGTGCAGACATTAGCGGGGACACGTAACGAAGCAACGCGGTGTTTTTAGTTCGGAAGCACACGCGTAAACAGCAGAGAATACGCATGCGCACAACTCAAACAACAACAAGTAGTACGCAAGCGTCCGGGTCACGTGCGTACTGACGTCACAAACATTTACGACAGAATTCATGAGAATTATTTTTTCTGTAACACTCTTCATCCGCATGTGACGTCTGCACATCAACAAAGAGCCTATAGCTTCACACTGTGGTGAGCAGCTCAAACATCTCTCCTGGTAACTACTGGTGACTGAATTTCTTTCCAGGAACAATCTAAATGAAACGAAGTCCCACATCTCTCTCGTTTGCCCTATATAAACATGTACAACCGTCCGTATTGATGGCTGGAGGCTTCAATCCAGTGGTTGGTGTCTCTTCCGTTGTCACCGTGCGGAGAAAAATGAAATCCCGGAACACCAAACATTGTAAAGTGCTTTGTGTGACCCTGGTCAGTGGAATGCGCTATATATAACGACGATTACTGCTCCCAAACTATGGAGTATGTCTATGTTTAGCACCTGCTGACTCACGTTTGTGTTTCATGTCGTGTCATAGTCTTTACTCGTTTCATACAAGTAAAACTGACATTGATAATATTACTTAACCAGTTTGCATGGCCACAATCAGCAAATATTTAGGCAGCAATCTGGAAATATATATTTTTGTAACACTCTCATAACTGTGCATCGGGATAGTCAGGTTGCTAAAAAAATGGATATTGTAATCACAGCTTGCTTTAACACCATGATCATAGAGAGCGCTAAATAACAGATAATTGTTACTTGGTGAGTTTGATACAGTTACTGAGCTTGAGGATTATACTTCTACATGTAAGCCAGAGGAAGTTGGAGCCAAACTTCACCATGAGCACTTCCCTGTTGGAGCGTCATTGAGCGACACGCACTAAATGAAGAGTGTGCACTGTGTTAGAAAGAGCTTTTATTAAATTATGTGAGGAAACATCTCTCTCAGTCTGCATCGCGCTCTCCCCACGTATGTGTGTGTGTGGAGCGCGGCTGCAGACTCCAGTTCACAAAACAAAAAGTGCATAAAACCTTGCTGTGAAAAGAGCAGGCAGAGCGGGCACTTGGGAGTCAGACCTGCCTGTGGTCTCTTTAAAGCTGAGGTACATAAAATTCAGACCACAATCAAATTCCGTATTAAACCCTTGTCCTGGCTCTAAAAGTTTGCCTCAATCACTCGTTTTCACATCATGTATGTTTACATCTTTAGATCAGATTTTTCAGACAGAAAAGTGAAAAAGTCAAATAGTGACTCACTCTTGGCTTATTACACTAAAGAGAGCATGTTTTCTAATCAGCACTGGGATACAGCATGTTGTGGTCTAAACTTAGGTACCCCAGCTCTCGCAGTCCTGGTCTCGCAGTCCTGGTCTCGCAGTCCTGGTCTCGCAGTCCTGGTCTCGCAGTCCTGGTCTCGCAGTCCTGGTCTCGCAGTCCTGGTCTCGCAGTCCTGGTCTCGCAGTCCTGGTCTCGCAGTCCTGGTCTCGCAGTCCTGGTCTCGCAGTCCTGGTCTCGCAGTCCTGGTCTCGCAGTCCTGGTCTCGCAGTCCTGGTCTCGCAGTCCTGGTCTCGCAGTCCTGGTCTCGCAGTCCTGGTCTCGCAGTCCTGGTCTCGCAGTCCTGGTCTCGCAGTCTAAAAGCTCCCACACTGAGGAGCTTGTGGTGCCGGCTGCCAAGTCTTTTAAAAAAAACCCCAAACCCTTTTTCCGATAGTTCTTAAATTCTTTAAAAGTCCAAAGAATTCAAGTCTCAGAACCGTTGCCGCCTCCTGGACGATTAGAACGTTGAGAGCGCTGACCAGACGACGGAGTCTCTGTGAGCATTTCCCACTCCCAGAACATTTCCAGGATGTAGTCTAAAAGAAAAGCCTCAGGTCTCGTCCCTCATTCAGAATGTGTTTCCGCGGTGAGACGTTCCGAATGCATTTGCCGGTGCGATTCCTGGTTGTCGGCATGGGCAAAGCGCTGGTCTCTTTGGGGACAGCTGTGGTGCCTTGCTCAGCGGCACACAGTCAGTCTGGGGTTGTGTCTCAAGTGGCCGTGGAGCGGGACATGAGCTCCTCTAGAGCCTTGTCCTGGTCGTTGTTGTGGAAGAGGAGCACTTCTTTGATGGCGTCTCGCTCGAATCCCATCTCCCCAAATCTCGACATGAGCTGAAGGAACTGCAGCGCCTAAAGGTCACACCGAGGCCAGTTAGACACACACTCATTAGAACACAATGAAAACCCGTAAGACGGACACAGGTTTTGTCCCAAGTCTCTGGGTCACTTTAAAGACCTTATGACGGGTTTTAAAAAAAAAAATAGTGGATATCAAAATTGCATGACAGTGTCAATTTGAAAGAGATTCCGGCAAAAAAAAGCCTATATTTTATAAAAAGAACGTGTTTTTCATGAATTTAAGTTGTCTATGCTCTAACCTGTGTGTGACGTCATAGCGGGTTACGCCCATGCATTGAAAACCATAGATCTATGCCACAGGACTGCCTTTTCTCTCTACTCTCCACTGATGCCCAACACAATACTGCCCTCTACAGGTGACAATTGCTCACTACACATAAATTGCCGTTTTGAGTGTGAAAAAGTGCCCGAAGTGGGATTTGAACCCAAGTATCTGGATTAGCAGTCCATCGACACAACCACTGGACTAGTGGTATTCTAGTAGTTATTTTAGACTCGCTGTACACGGCCTTGTCATCTTGAATATCCGCGAAAAAAGAACGAATACCAAATTGTAAACAACTTACAGCGTTGAAACGTACCCGTTCTGACGTCACCAAGGGCTGTGAAGTTTTTTCGTTTCTAAGGGCGTTGCTATGGGGTTATTTCGATTTGGGGGGATCAGACAAAAAAAACAACAACTGATTTTGAAACCTTTAGTAGTTCTCTTCTAATATAAAATGGTATTAAAACTGTATTTCTAAATAAATCAAACCCGTCATAAGGTCTTTAATGTTGTTGTGAAGAAAGAGGACCATCTGATGTGTGTGGTACAGCTCTAACCCCCCCCTCACCTTGTCCTCCTCACAGTGGTAAAGCTCTTATGGTGCTTTCAGTCCGGATCATGTGTTGCGTCGGGTTTCAATGCAAAGTCTATGGTGACGCGCGTTCGGCCGTCGTAACGCACAGACCGCTCGGTTCGCACAAACGGACTGTTCAGTAGAGACGCACAGACTTGGCGGGAAAGTGAAAAGGGAGGAGCAGGAGCGAAAAATTGACGCCCACAGGAGATGGATTCTGCTCATCCTTTCCTTGGGACGTTCGTGCGACAACCAATCAAAGAGCAGCAAAGTGGTCACGGGGACATTAGCGGACTGAGCGAGCAGACTGAAAATACTCATAAACAGCCAAAACAGGACCCACACCAGACTTCACCAGAACTCAAACCAGGGTTGAGAATGGGGGACTGAAAATATGCGTTGTCATGCTCCCGTGACCTTATGCAACTGCTTCGAGTGTGTTCGCCGATGCGGAAATTCCGTTTAATATTATGAAAAACCGTGTGGCGCACCTCCGTGAACACATATTGGTGTTATATACAGCCCGTGGAATGTCTGTGAGCAAAGACACGCGGCAAAGCTGCATATTGGTGAAGATCTGTACACAAGAAGCCGCTAGCATAGCTCTGTTAGCATTAGAGCCGGCCGGCTACTTCCGGTACTTCCGGCTCGCGTCAGGACGTTCTGGTGTGAAGACCCCTGCGTCTGAAAACTAGAGAATGCGCGTCTGGTGAGCGGGACTTCCGCGTTTCAGCGTTGGCCGTATGAAAGCCCCATAACCCCCCTCACCTTGTCTTCCTCACAGTGGTACAGCTCTAGGCCCTCCTCCACAGCCGTGGCCTCGTAGCCGCGCTCACACAGGCGGTTGTGAACGTACAGATAGTCCAAGACAGTTTCCACGCTCTGACCCTGTCGCTGCATCGCTCGGAGGACACCCTCGTAGGAGTACCCCATCCCCACCAGCGTCTCCACACACTGACGCTCAGCGGGGGTCATGCTGAGGAGAGCGCCCCCACATGGCAGAGACGAGCAGTTCACCTGAGAGTAGAGACACAGCAGAAGAATGTAAGCGCACAGTGAGTATGGACGCTCTCGCTGGACTCTCGCTCGCTCGCTCTCTGGACTCTCGCTCGCTCGCTCTCTGGACTCTCGCTCGCTCGCTCTCTGGACTCTCGCTCGCTCGCTCTCTGGACTCTCGCTCGCTCGCTCTCTGGACTCTCGCTCGCTCGCTCTCTGGACTCTCGCTCGCTCGCTCGCTCTCTGGACTCTCGCTCGCTCGCTCTCTGGCTCTCTGGACTCTCGCTCGCTCGCTCGCTCTCTGGACTCTCGCTCGCTCGCTCGCTCTCTGGACTCTCGCTCGCTCTCGCTCGCTCTCTGGACTCTCGCTCGCTCGCTCGCTCTCTGGACTCTCGCTCGCTCGCTCGCTCTCTGGACTCTCGCGCTCGCTCGCTCTCTGGACTCTCGCTCGCTCGCTCGCTCTCTGGACTCTCGCTCGCTCGCTCTCTGGACTCTCGCTCGCTCGCTCGCTCTCTGGACTCTCGCTCGCTCGCTCTCTGGACTCTCGCTCGCTCGCTCTCTGGACTCTCGCTCGCTCGCTCTCTGGCTCTCGCTCGCTCGCTCTCTGGACTCTCGCTCGCTCGCTCGCTCTGGACTCTCGCTCGCTCGCTCTCTGCTCTCTGGACTCTCGCTCGCTCTCTGGACTCTCGCTCGCTCGTCGCTCTCGCTCGCTCTCTCGCTCTCGCTCGCTCGCTCGCTCTCTGGACTCTGCTCGCGCTCGCTCGCTCGCTCTCTGGACTCTCGCTCGCTCGCTCTCTGGACTCTCGCTCGCTCGCTCGCTCGCTCTCTGGACTCTCGCTCGCTCGCTCGCTCTCTGGACTCTCGCTCGCTCGCTCGCTCTCTGGACTCTCGCTCGCTCGCTCGCTCGCTCTCTGGACTCTCGCTCGCTCGCTCGCTCTCTGGACTCTCGCTCGCTCGCTCGCTCTCGCTCTCTGGACTCTCGCTCGCTCGCTCGCTCTCTGGACTCTCGCTCGCTCGCTCGCTCTCTGGACTCTCGCTCGCTCGCTCGCTCTCTGGACTCTCGCTCGCTCGCTCGCTCTCTGGACTCTCGCTCGCTCGCTCGCTCTCTGGACTCTCGCTCGCTCGCGCTCGCTCTCTGGACTCTCGCTCGCTCGCTCGCTCTCTGGACTCTCGCTCGCTCGCTCGCTCTCTGGACTCTCGCTCGCTCGCTCTCTGGACTCTCGCTCGCTCGCTCGCTCTCTGGACTCTCGCTCGCTCGCTCTCTCTGGACTCTCGCTCGCTCGCTCGCTCTCTGGACTCTCGCTCGCTCGCTCTCTGGACTCTCGCTCGCTCGCTCTCTGGACTCTCGCTCGCTCGCTCTCTGGACTCTCGCTCGCTCGCTCGCTCTCTGGACTCTCGCTCGCTCGCTCGCTCTCTGGACTCTCGCTCGCTCGCTCGCTCTCTGGACTCTCGCTCGCTCGCTCGCTCGCTGGACTCTCTCGCTCGCTGCTCGCTCTCTGGACTCTCGCTCGCTCGCTCGCTCTCTGGACTCTCGCTCGCTCGCTCTCTCTCTGGACTCTCGCTCGCTCGCTCTCTGGACTCTCGCTCGCTCGCTACTCTGGACTCTCGCTCGCTCGCTCGCTCTCTGGACTCTCGCTCGCTCGCTCTCTGGACTCTCTCGCTCGCTCGACTCTCGCTCGCTCGCTCTCTCGCTCTCTGGACTCTCGCTCGCTCGCTCGCTCTCTGGACTCTCGCTCGCTCGCTCGCTCTCTGGACTCTCGCTCGCTCGCTCGCTCTCTGGACTCTCGCTCGCTCGCTCTCTGGACTCTCGCTCGCTCGCTCTCTGGACTCTCGCTCGCTCGCTCTCTGGACTCTCGCTCGCTCGCTCGCTCTCTGGACTCTCGCTCGCTCGCTCGCTCTCTGACTCTCGCTCGCTCGCTCGCTCTCTGGACTCTCGCTCGCTCGCTCGCTCTCTGGACTCTCGCTCGCTCGCTCGCTCTCTGGACTCTCGCTCGCTCTCTGGACTCTCGCTCGCTCTCTGGACTCTCGCTCGCTCGCTCTCTCTGGACTCTCGCTCGCTCGCTCGCTCTCTGGACTCTCGCTCGCTCGCTCGCTCTCTGGACTCTCGCTCGCTCGCTCTCTTGGACTCTCGCTCGCTCGCTCTCTGGACTCTCGCTCGCTCGCTCTCTGGACTCTCGCTCGCTCGCTCTCTGGACTCTCGCTCGCTCGCTCTCTGGACTCTCGCTCGCTCGCTCTCTGGACTCTCGCTCGCTCGCTCGCTCTCTGGACTCTCGCTCGCTCGCTCGCTCTCTGGACTCTCGCTCGCTCGCTCGCTCTCTGGACTCTCGCTCGCTCGCTCGCTCTCTGGACTCTCGCTCGCTCGCTCGCTCTCTGGACTCTCGCTCGCTCGCTCTCTGGACTCTCGCTCGCTCGCTCGCTCTCTGGACTCTCGCTCGCTCGCTCTCTCTCTGGACTCTCGCTCGCTCGCTCTCTGGACTCTCGCTCGCTCGCTCGCTCTCTGGACTCTCGCTCGCTCGCTCGCTCGCTCTCTGGACTCTCGCTCGCTCGCTCGCTCTCTGGACTCTCGCTCGCTCGCTCGCTCTCTGGACTCTCGCTCGCTCGCTCGCTCTCTGGACTCTCGCTCGCTCGCTCGCTCTCTGGACTCTCGCTCGCTCGCTCGCTCTCTGGACTCTCGCTCGCTCGCTCGCTCTCTGGACTCTCGCTCGCTCGCTCGCTCTCTGGACTCTCGCTCGCTCGCTCGCTCTCTGGACTCTCGCTCGCTCGCTCGCTCTCTGGACTCTCGCTCGCTCGCTCGCTCTCTGGACTCTCGCTCGCTCGCTCGCTCTCTGGACTCTCGCTCGCTCGCTCGCTCTCTGGACTCTCGCTCGCTCGCTCGCTCTCTGGACTCTCGCTCGCTCGCTCGCTCTCTGGACTCTCGCTCGCTCGCTCGCTCTCTGGACTCTCGCTCGCTCGCTCGCTCTCTCTCTGGACTCTCGCTCGCTCGCTCGCTCTCTGGACTCTCGCTCGCTCGCTCGCTCTCTGGACTCTCGCTCGCTCGCTCGCTCTCTGGACTCTCGCTCGCTCGCTCGCTCTCTGGACTCTCGCTCGCTCGCTCGCTCTCTGGACTCTCGCTCGCTCGCTCGCTCTCTGGACTCTCGCTCGCTCGCTCGCTCTCTGGACTCTCGCTCGCTCGCTCGCTCTCTGGACTCTCGCTCGCTCGCTCGCTCTCTGGACTCTCGCTCGCTCGCTCTCTGGACTCTCGCTCGCTCTCTGGACTCTCGCTCGCTCGCTCTCTGGACTCTCGCTCGCTCGCTCGCTCTCTGGACTCTCGCTCGCTCGCTCTCGCTCTCTCTGGACTCTCGCTCGCTCGCTCGCTCTCTGGACTCTCGCTCGCTCGCTCGCTCTCTGGACTCTCGCTCGCTCGCTCGGACTCTCTGGTCTCTCTGGACTCGCTCGCTCGCTCGCTCTGGACTCTCGCTCGCTCGCTCTCGCTCTCTGGACTCTCGCTCGCTCGCTCGCTCGCTCTCTGGACTCTCGCTCGCTCGCTCGCTCTCTGGACTCTCGCTCGCTCGCTCGCTCTCTGGACTCGCTCGCTCGCTCGCTCGCTCTCTGGACTCTCGCTCGCTCGCTCGCTCTCTCTGGACTCTCGCTCGCTCGCTCGCTCTCTGGACTCTCGCTCGCTCGCTCGCTCTCTGGACTCTCGCTCGCTCGCTCGCTCTCTGGACTCTCGCTCGCTCGCTCGCTCTCTGGACTCTCGCTCGCTCGCTCGCTCTCTGGACTCTCGCTCGCTCGCTCGCTCTGGACTCTCGCTCGCTCGCTCGCTCTCTGGACTCTCGCTCGCTCGCTCTCTGGACTCTCGCTCGCTCGCTCTCTGGACTCTCGCTCGCTCGCTCGCTCTCTGGACTCTCGCTCGCTCGCTCGCTCTCTGGACTCTCGCTCGCTCGCTCGCTCTCTGGACTCTCGCTCGCTCGCTCGCTCTCTGGACTCTCGCTCGCTCGCTCGCTCTCTGGACTCTCGCTCGCTCGCTCTCTGGACTCTCGCTTCTCCTGGACTCTCGCTCGCTCTCTGGGACTCTCGCTCGCTCTCTGGACTCTCGCTCGCTCTCTGGACTCTCGCTCGCTCGCTTCTGGACTCTCGCTCGCTCTCTGGACTCTCGCTCGCTCTCTGGACTCTCGCTCGCTCGCTCTCTGGACTCTCGCTCGCTCGCTCTCTCTGGACTCTCGCTCGCTCGCTCTCTGGACTCGCTCGCTCGCTCGCTCTCTGGACTCTCGCTCGCTCGCTCGCTCTCTGGACTCTCGCTCGCTCGCTCTCTGGACTCTCGCTCGCTCGCTCTCTGGACTCTCGCTCGCTCGCTCGCTCTCTGGACTCTCGCTCGCTCGCTCTCTGGACTCTCGCTCGCTCGCTCGCTCTCTGGACTCTCGCTCGGACTCGCTCGCTCTCTGGACTCTCGCTCGCTCGCTCGCTCTCTGGACTCTCGCTCGCTCGCTCGCTCTCTGGACTCTCGCTCGCTCGCTCGCTCTCTGGACTCTCGCTCGCTCGCTCGCTCTCTGGACTCTCGCTCGCTCGCTCGCTCTCTGGACTCTCGCTCGCTCGCTCGCTCTCTGGACTCTCGCTCGCTCGCTCGCTCTCTGGACTCTCGCTCGCTCGCTCGCTCTCTGGACTCTCGCTCGCTCGCTCGGCTCTCTGGACTCTCGCTCGCTCGCTCTCTGGACTCTCGCTCGCTCGCTCTCTGGACTCTCGCTCGCTCGCTCTCTGGACTCTCGCTCGCTCGCTCTCTGGACTCTCGCTCGCTCGCTCTGCTCTCTACGGACTCTCGCTCGCTCGCTCTCTGGACTCTCGCTCGCTCGCTCGCTCTCTGGACTCTCGCTCGCTCGCTCGCTCTCTGGACTCTCGCTCGCTCGCTCGCTCTCTGGACTCTCGCTCGCTCGCTCGCTCTCTGGACTCTCGCTCGCTCTCGCTCGCCGCTCGCTCTCTGGACTCTCGCTCGCTCTCTGGGACTCTCGCTCGCTCTCTGGACTCTCGCTCGCTCGCTCGTCTCTCTG